AGTGATGCAACCAAGACTATGTTGTGTTATTTCAGATAGACATCTTCCATGGACAGTTATTGTTGCTCAGAAGTTCATGTTGGAGCAATGGCATCAAAGCTGTAATGTTTGCTGCAACAACTAGACGGTAAAATGGTGCAGCAAGAAGCTGCGTTTATGGCACAAAATGTGTAGCAATAAAGCTACTTTAATGGAAAAAAGAAAAGTGTAGCAAACTGCTGCATTATGGAAGAAAATGAAATCAAATTGAGATGCAAATGCAAATGCAAATGCAAATGAAATGCAAATGGAGGCTGCAAATTAGTCAACAAAAGTGCAGCAATTTCAATGTACATTTTATGTTAGTTTATGTATTATAATCTTTGATAGATTTTGTAGGACATATGTAGTCATAAATCACGGCAAGTACGTAGAGAAACACTGTTTTATATTGAATTTTCTGTTAAAAATGGGCAATAGATGTTAAAGGAATTTGGAGTGAGATTTGGAGAGGTTCTCTCTTCCCGGTTGGGTGAATTAATGCACCCTTTCATGGCTATGTCAGATATATGTTCTGAGTTCTAAGTTCTGAGTTCTACTCTTCTCCTACTCTCCTCTGAGTCCTCTCTCAACCCTTCTTACCTCAAAAATCTAACAAACTGGATTTACATGTCCAGATCCAATGCCATTCATAAGTTCTAATAACTCGATGTTTTAGTCCAATACCACCAAAAGAACATGACATAATTCATTATCAATCCCTCTGAAAACCTGATTGGCATGGCTTCCCAATCCCTTCAGCCTCACTTTCTTCTCCTACCCCTTATGTGCCCTGGTCACCTTATTCCTATGGTAGACATGGGCAGGTTACTGGCAAGAAATGGTGTGAGAATCACCATTGTCACCACCCCTCTTAATGCCAACAAATTCAAGACGATAATCGACCGTGATGCTGAATCTGGGATCCCAATTCAAGTTCTCCAACTCCGATTTCCTTGCGCTGAGGCTGGCTTGCCAGAGGGTTGTGAGAATATAGAAGATCTCCCACGGCAGTTGTCCAGGAATTTCATGCATGCAGCTAGCATGTTGCAACAACCAGTAGAACAGTTCATGGAAGAGACACAGCCAAGACCAAGTTGTATTATTTCAGATAGACATCTTCCATGGACAGCTAGTGTTGCTCAGAAGTTCAGAATTCCAAGGCTTGGTTTTGATGGCACCAGTTGTTTTGCAGCCATGTGCTCGCACTCGATAGACACTTCCAAGATTCATGAAAAGGTCTGCAATGACTCAGAGCCCTTTTTTGTGCCTGGTCTGCCAGATAGGATTGAATTCACTAAAGCTCAGCTACCCACTAACTTCAATCCAGGTTCAGTGTTTCTGAAAGAAAAGAATGAGCAAATGGCAGCAGCAGAAACGACAACACTCGGTTTGGTGATTAATTCTTTTGAAGAGTTGGAATGGGAATATGTTGAAGAATATAGAAAGAGAAAGGGACACAAGATTTGGTGTATTGGCCCTCTATCACTATGCAACAAGGCAGACCTAGACAAGGCACAAAGAGGAAACAGAGCCACCTGTGATGAAAGCCAGTTCTTAAGGTGGCTTGATTCATGGCCAACAAACTCTGCAATTTATGCTTGTCTTGGAACACTCAACTGTCTTGTGGCTACACAGCTAATGGAACTTGCCTTGGGATTAGAAGCATCAAACAGGCCATTCATTTGGGTTATAAGAGAAGGGTATGATACAAACGAATTTGAGAAATGGATATCCAAGGAAGGGTTTGAGGAGAGAACCAAAGGGAGAGGCCTCTTAATCCGGGGCTGGGCACCACAAGTCTTGTTACTATCTCATCCGGCAATAGGAGGATTCTTGACACATTGTGGCTGGAATTCAGTAATAGAAGGGGTGTGTGCTGGTGTTCCAATGATAACATGGCCTCTATTGGCAGAACAGTTTTTCAATGAGAAGCATGTGGTACAATTACTAAAAATTGGAGAGAGGATTGGAGCAGAAATTGTCATAAAGTGGGGTGATGAAGACAAATATGGGGTGATGGTGAAGAGAGAGGAGATTACAAAAGCTATAAATCTGGTAATGTGTGGAGGAGAAGAAGGAGAAGAGAGGAGAAAGAGAGCAAGGGAACTCCAGGAGATGGCAAAGAAAGCATTAGAAGAAGAAGGATCTTCTTACCTCAATATCATCAAGCTGATCAAAGATGTGCAACAAGTTAGCAGCAAAGATACAGAGACATGAAAACTTATATCCATGTGAGACAACTGTAATTGGAAAGAAACAGCAAGGCACTTGCTTTTATCTTCTCCCTTCTAGTTAAGATTATATTTCATTTGCTAAGGAAATGGCCTCTCCCATGTCCAAGAAAATGCAGAATATATGAATTTTACTAGAGTAGCTGTACTTTTGCATGCCATTTCATAATTTGTACAAAAACTAGTAGCAGCCTTAAGAGCAAGTGCTGCTTACTGTATTCTATTGCGTCCTTGGTAAAAATAGAAATTTTACCCAGAAAAAAGACTACACTCCACCAAATTATGGGTACCATTGCATCAAAATTCATAATTCAAAACATTATTTAGTTTTATTTCAGTTGAGTATGAACTTTCCATCTATTTGCCTTTCTAAGATGACCAAAGTCTGTATTTGCTTCTATTAGTATACTAAAATGTCTTGACATAATGTATAGAAAAAGAAGCTCACCTTTAGCTTCCAGTTAGCAGCAAAACAGATGCAGTGAACTTTCTTTAGTCCTGCTGGACAAGTCAAACAAAAGCACATTAATACTAACAAACCACTTTGAAAGAGAAGCCTTTCAAAGGAAGCCTTTCAAAGGAAACCTAGAAAACTAAAGTAATCAATAGAGTTGGAAATTCTGCCTCATCATAAATTTCCCGGAGCTTTCCTACTTAAGCGCAAAAAATCCATTCTCAATCAACGACTATATATAATAATAGATCCACCAGCACAAACTATTTGATATTTTACATTCATCCGTTCTTTAACACTTTTTAGGTACCAAAGATTGACCTGCATCTTATCCAAAAATGAAGTTGAAGCAGACCAGATTCAGACAATCAACTCCACATTGAGTCATGGACACTTAACCCTTAAAAAAAGACATTATTATGTATGCTCTTACGTTACAAAACAATACAAAAGCAAAATGAAACAAGTCATGACAAAGAAACAGCATAAAGAAACAAAAGAAGGCATTACCATATTAATCCAGGCAGAATCTATTCTGCTTCTCTGTGAGGTTTGCCCAAGAATTCCCCAAGCAATGGCTTCACAAACCTTCGAACCCCATTTTGTATTCATACCCTTCATGACTCCAGGCCATATTATCCCCATGATTGATATAGCTAGGTTGTTGGCACAGAGGAATGTGACTGTAACCATAGCTACAACACCCAAAAATGCCACTCGATTTGATTCTATCATCAATCGTGACACCAATTCAGGGCTGCCTATCAAATTCCTACAAATTGAATTCCCTTCTTTTGAATCTGGTTTGCCCAAGGGGTGTGAAAGTCTTGATAGTTTACCCTCCATAGACATGTTAGGCAATTTCTTCACTGCAATAACAATGATCCAGCAGCCCTTTGAGAAGTCCTTGCAGGAGATGAAACCATCTCCCAGCTGTATAGTCTTCGATAGATCCATACCATGGATAGCTGATACTGCCTCCAAGTTCAGGATTCCGAGGATATTATTTGATGGGATGAACTGCTTCACTCTTTTGTGTAATCACAACTTACACAAATCTGAGATCTATAGGCATGTATCTGAATTTGAGCCTTTTGTAGTGCCAGGCTTACCAGATCAGGTCGAATTCACAAAAGCACAGTTGCCTGGAGCATTCAATCCAGGAAGCAACAACGCATTTGCACCATTCCGGAAACAATCCAGAGCAGCTGAGAAAGGAGTTATCGGGGTGCTAGTTAATACCTTTGAGGAACTGGAACCAAAGTATGTCAAAGGATATAGAGAGGCCACTGGTCATAATGTCTGGTGCATTGGCCCTGTTTCATTATGCAACAGGGGGAGCTCAGATAAGGCTGAGAGAGGTAATAGAGCTGCTGCTATAGATGAAAACCAGTGCTTGAAATGGCTGGATTCGCAGACACCAAGCTCCGTTGTTTACGTCTGCTTTGGAAGCATCAATCGCCTTATCCCAGGACAGTTGATTGAGCTTGGCCTAGCATTGGAAGCATCATCAATCAGGGCATTCATCTGGGTCATCAGAGGAGCCTGCAAATCAGAAGAAATAGAAAAATGGCTAATTGAATACAGATTTGAAGAAAAAGTAAAAGGAAGAGGGCTCATAATAAGGGGTTGGGCACCACAAGTACTAATCCTATCACACCCTGCCATCGGAGGATTCTTAACACATTGCGGCTGGAATTCAATACTTGAAGGGATATGCGCGGGCGTTCCAATGGCGACTTGGCCAATGTTTGCAGAGCAATTTTACAATGAGAAGTTGATCGTGCAAGTTCTGGATACTGGAGTAAGGGTGGGCACACCAGTAGTTACACACTTGGGGGAAGAAGAGAAATTTGGGGTCTTGGTGAAGAAAGAAGATATCAAGAAAGCTATAGAGAAGCTAATGGATGAAGGAGAAGAAGGAAAACAGAGAAGAGAAAGAGCTCGAAAGTTTGCAGCCATGGCAGAAAGGGCAGTAGAAGAAGGAGGATCTTCTTACCTCAACATTACGCTACTAATCCAAGACATCGTTCAACAAGACAAACATACTCAGCTGTGAAACAGGGACAAGAACTTTAACCCTGTCTTCATGTAACAGAAGACATTAGCAGACATGATGAAGAAGACACTGGAAGACAAGAATTAAAATAAATCAATAAGAGACATGGATCATCTTACCTCAACATTTCCCTGTTAGTTGAAGAT